AGCTATTGGGATGATTGTTTGGTTTGAGCATGTACAAAACTTAGATACGACCCAGCCTAGAATAGCGACTATATACACTATACTTGTCCATAGATAATGCGGTTCCAAGTAGAGCAAGCTGTGTGTCGCATGTGGCTTCAAACCTCTCTGTAAAGGAAGTACTTATCATCATTCAATTCTCTCTATGCAAACGGAGCTGCTGGCCCGACTGATACTGCCTGTATATGATAGGATCTCTATATCTGTAGGCCTGTATGATCACTGATTTGTTTGTATTGAGAATGTAAAATAATCTAACAGATGAGGCTTCTATAACTTCTGTGTTACAGCGGCTTTGCATAAATGGCCCATTGGCGTTTCTGTATTCTCTATGCCTCACTCGTCCTGGTGAAGTATCGCCTTGAGTTCAACTTCTTGACGCTCTGGCGATTATAAATGTCAGACTCAAGTATAGACTGCCTGTAGTGATCTAGAACCTTGCAGTGTCACAGAGCATATGGGATCCTTTGTCACCCTCACATACAGGTGGCATCTCAACCTGTTGTAGCTAGGTAGCAGTCCCGCCAGCAACCTTAGGTTGCCTAGATCTAAAGATAAGCAAAAAGGTCCATCCATCGCACTAGGCCCTTTCAAAGATTGTTGGCCCCGTCACTAACGATACCAGAGGCCTTGGTGCTAAACTATCCAGAGCCTCCCTAGACATGGTTCGAATTAACTTTGCAGGCAATTTGTGGGTTAATGCCGGCCTTGTTGTTGAGATAGATAGTTGATCTTCTCCTATGCCCATCCCCCTCAGAATACATGATAGACTCGCATTAAGTTCCGCCTAGAAAATTGTAGTATATCCACCGAGAGATAGTTCTAAGCTCAAAGCCAGAGCCCTTGTTAGTAACCGAGCTATCCGTTTACCGCACTTTCCTTCTTCCCTCACAGACCCTCCTGTCCTGGATGTATACTCTACATTCATTTAAAGCGATACTTAGGAATGAACAAATCTCATCTGCTGACCAGTGCGGTATCACCCCATTCCAATTTGGCTAAGATGGCGGTATGACCTTTGAGAGGATTCATAAAGGCCACCCTGACTACACGGTCGTTGTTCCATTTCCCTCATATTCATGCGGTTTACTAGATCCATCTGTAGAAGACCTAGTAGTGTTTCCATTGCACTCAAAGGTGATGTCCACACTGGGCTCGGACTACTAACACGATGAATTTTATTACGTTTGGGTTCAGTTGTCTCAGTACTAGTGTAGGACCTCTATACCAAGGAGCCATACAAAATAGGGGGCCGTGCTATCGCCGTGAAGAGCCAATTCACTGCTCTTAAGTTTTAGCCACGGACGACCTAAGTATACGCACACAATGAATTGCGAGCTTTGCTTTTTTATTATTGCGGTTACTTACCTGTGATGACAGTGCCAAGGTATGGCTAAGTTATGTTTAAGAAATTTATTGCTGAAATAAACAATATGAAAATGATGACATTATATTTTCTTTAAAAATACCCGTCTAAATCTGCTTGTTTCGTTTACATCTAGTTTTAACCACTAAGGATTGGCTAGACCTAGGTGTAGCCGGGATCAAGTTAGTTGGACCTAGTTTTAACCGAACGCAGCCGGCTAATACTTGGTTTGGGCATGGATGTATAGGTTACACCTGAGACTAACCAACTGCCAGTGGCGACATCTAGTTCTAACCGGCTAAACCTAATTGTCACCGCAGTTCGGATTCTAATCGTAACATACAGGGTGTCCAATAAGTACCACGACAAACTTAACGGGGCTCCTACAATCACGAGCACCAAAGGAAACGAGGGTGGGCTGGGCCGACTTTAAATTAAAAGAGGAAAGGAGGAAAGGATGACTGAGGGTGCATACCATAAATTTTTATAATAACAGAGTCGGATTTCGATTAGCGATCTAGAATGTAAATCGTTTCTAGTTTTGGTACTCAGCAAGTGATCATTTAGTATTTTATTCCTATTGTTATTATTCGTCGATATTGTGTTGTTGAATGGTTATTGGTGTGATTGTTCTTTAGTGCCTTTTTTATCAAGGCTGATAATGGACAATAAAAGGTCATATGCGACCATTTTAATTACGAATGCAGTGAGTTTAATTCATGATGAGGTCAACAATAGTGTGCAGCAGTTCAACTCTACAATCGCAAAATACATTGGAGTAAGCGAATAAATTATTCCAAGAAGAGGTCATACCATGGAAGATGCCCTGCAGCTGTAGTGAGCCACAATACCCAGCGGCCTGTATATATGGTCTAAATACATTTGCGTTCTAGGCTTAGTCCAACCTCGCTTATCGCTAAGATGGAACAAAGACTCAAACGCAAGAATCTTGAAAAGAAATTCAGACCATAAAAAGCTGATATAAAAATAACTAACAATTCGGGTAGCAATTCCAAAGAAAATGAATAGTTTTATAGCGAATTCAATCAAAAACCTGGCATTAACTACATTGATTGGGAGGTTGCTAAGCGAAAATTTTTAGGGAAACTTAAAAAAAGTGACGGCGAGATTTTGCAGATCGAACAAGTCACCAAATCACAGGACTGTACTTTGTCGCGCCTTCATCGGAGGATAAGGTTGACAACGTCTCGATTTGGTGGAGTTTGTAGAAGAAAGCAGACAACAAGCTGTAAAGTTCTAGTAAACTCCATCATATACCCAACAGAGTTTTCTAGTAAGGCAATAAAAAAGGCAATACAAAAATCATTGGCCACCGCAGTTCAGTCTTGTGGTTTGTTTATTGATCGCACACATCCATTTCTGGCAGCATCGCCTCCATCTATTACAGTAGACAAGAAATGTACTTAATTCAGGTATAAGCCTACCTGTTTATTGCTTTGCAAAAACTACCCAACTGTTTCCTCTTATTTTGACGGCATAAGATATTCATATATGACTCTCATGCAATTGTTGCCATGTACCACATAACCCTTGTAAACATAATTGTGTTTACTGACATCAATAAACGAATTGTAATTTGAGTTCTTGAATTTATTTTAGGAAAGATATCAAATTATTTGAATACATTTTTTCTTAATCGGAACGCACCGTTGCGTCGCTTGGACTGGCAGGACGATACAGTAGACGAATTTCGCTCAAAAACCGATTTGCACTTCACAGCTTACGTTTCATTTTTTATTATTTCCAATTGAAACTCTTGTAGCGTGCTAAAAACAAAGTCCACAGGGTGCTAACGATCCACTTTTTCGATTTTATCCACTAGGATCTTTTTAAAATATCAAGAAGTTGAGCACAAATAGTAAGCATTTCAACCCACCATAATTCTTGCGCAAAAACAAAATTTTGTAAAACGCTCTGATAGCACCTTAGGCAATTATGTCCTGCTTATATCCAGAAAAACATTACAAACTGCTGAACATAAATTGAACGTAACGGCGAAATGGGTACATTTTACGGGTCATGAAATTCAAATGAAAATGCAGGTATAAAATCTACCAAATTATGGTTCTCAAAAACATATTTCCTTGACATATCGATAATTTTAAAGTTCCACGCTAAATTCCCCTATACTTGACTGGAGTGATATCCGAATTCGTTCTTCCATACTGTCGGCAGTTGCAGATAGATCTGTTGGCTCTTGGTGTCAAACCTGTAGAGCAGGTACCGATTTTTTCAAATCGTGAGCACATTATTCGTCGGGCTTTCGTTACTTAAATTTCCAGTAATCACTGAGATCAGAAGCTTCTTAATAATATAACGTGTTCCAGTGATATCAAAGATGCAACATTTAGAATCACCTTTCCCCAACCCCCACTTTTTAAGCAGTACAATTTTTTTCTGCCAATGATAAGGAACCCCTCTAACGTCAAAAACGGAGTTTCAGCAATTGTTACTTTGTCTTTTTTGCCTATAGTACCGCCGCCACTGAACTAAACTACAAATCTTTGGCATACTAGTAACCCCGTGTGGAAATTTCATAAACATCCGAGCGGTTATTTCCAAGTTGATGAGTGATGTAGATGTCATATGACTTAAAAAAAAACATAACATCTCCTTTTAGAAATTTTTCGCGATTACAATACTTCCTCGCAAATGGCGTGGGAAGTAAAACGGCTTTAAAATCGAGAAGTATCATCGATCGCGATTATGAGTACCTATTTGCAGAACGACTTATCTACGCGATATCATATGAAATAGGGCCACCAAATTATCTGAATACGTCCTTTCTTAGGCCTCTTGCACACGACCGATCATTCCGCCGACCGGTTGTTTCTCCGCCCGGCAAAGAAATCGGGATTATCTTACACATGATAAGCGATCGGCCGGTTACGTGCCGTTTACTTTGCCTTCTGCATGAAGGTCAGTGCTGTACTGTCATCCGACGTAGAAAGAGCTTGGCTATTTTCGTTTCGTGCATTGTCAAAAATGAAACGTGAAAAGAAGATCGCGCTTGTGTGTTTATTGTATAGACGAAGAAAATACAAGAACGCTTTAGCAAGAAAATTATGGATTCATCCACTGGTAGCTGAAAGAAGTGCAGTAGGAGCATTTTATACCTTGTTTACAAGACTACGAGAGCATGAAGCAAAATTTTTCAATTACTTTAGGATGTCTGTTGCAACATTTGACACAGCAACAACGTGTATTTAATTACCGTTTATCACGTGCCAGGCGTTATGTTTAATGTGGATTCGGTATTTTTAGCAACAAATGGAGAATCTTTCATCGACCTATAAACGTACATCCCGAATTCGCCATTGACATTGTTGTATCTTGCATAATTTAGTACGAATGCGAGATGGTTTTAATATCGGCGATGTCTTAGAAATCATAAACCTCGAAGACATACCAAGAGAGCGAAATTTGCGAGGATCAAGAACCGGGAAAGATATACGGGACCATTTCACAAAATATTTCAATAGTAATGAAGGATCTGTACCGTGGCAATTAAGTAAAATATAGTTCATATTGTTTCTTATCTTAAATAGTTACATACCTATTTCGGCTTTTTCTGCTTCGTTCAGGTTTTCATAAATAAATGTATCGATGATATCTTACAGGCGGCTTTAGTTTTATTCCTATCCTTAAAACCCTCTCTTGTCTTGTCCCATATCACGGGCCTTTCTTCCACCATAGAAATAAATGCCTCAATATCTAAATTTTCCATTTCGCACCTCATGACTACACTGTCTAAACGGAAATGAAACTACGACTCTGTACCACGGCGACAGTAGAATCCCCGTTCGTGTGTCAACAGGCATAAACTTGCATGCATTGAAATGAACGCGCCGGTTAATTTACCGACCGGCAGCCGTGTGTTCGCCGTCCAAATTTTAATATGAACGGCGGCCGGTCGGCAGAATAGCCGGTACCGGAAAGTGTGTTAAGTTGTATTCGAATGTGGGTAAAATAACATCTTCCGATTTTCTTGCCGGTCGGTGGAACAGCCGGTCGGCGGATTGCACGTTCGTGTGCAAGAGCCCTTAGTCCGTACATTGCGCCGCAACGCTTGGGTTGGCAGCACGAAACAATAGTCAAAATTCGTCCAAAATACGATTTGTAGAGGTTTGCGCGCTTCGAAATTGACGCTTTATTTGTTGATATTTGTGGATTAAATTTTCACAGTGTGCTGAAAACAAAACCCCTCAGGGTGCTATAGAGCCACTTTTTCATTTTTTTCACTAGGTTCTTTTTAAAAAAATCGCGAAGTTGAACAGAAAAAGTACACACTTCAACCCAGCATAAAACTTGTGCAAAAACAAAATTTCAAAAAGTACTCATATAGCAACCCTGGTCAATTATCTTCTCAACATACTGTATGAATTTCATTCAAAAATATTGAAAAATGGAGTGCCAGTTTTGAAGCAGCTGAACCCTTGTAAATGGCTTGAAACTGAATTTTTTTCTTAAAATTTTAAAAAACGAACCTTTTCATCTGTGGTCTTTAGCTGCATGTACAAATAAGGTTATACTTTGTTCATTTTTTTCTATAAAACACTTCTAGATAGTTGCTTTATCATATACAAATGCAGTGTAGTTAAAAGATATTAAGGAACTATGATCAAATAAGGACTATTTTGGGAACCTTCTGATATTTTTTCCTCAACTTTGACCATCTGTGGTGAAACAAAAATGTACTTGGCTATAACTGCATTATATTGAATAAAAAGATTGCTCGTTGAATACAGATTTCAGAAACTCACCACACGTACTATTTTTAATAGAAAAAAGTGATAGCTGCTTTTGTAAGTGACTGACACCCATTACAATGTAATTATTGGATTTAAATTCAAGTTGAACTGGTTATCGATCAGTGACATGCTAAATAGTACAGAGCTACATTATTATTACCTGCTCTTGATATGATTGTATGAAACTTACTGAAATTCGGACTCGAGTCAGTAACAATACAAAAGAATTATTTTTTATCAGGGTTCCTTAATATCCTTTAACTAAATTGCATTTGTATATGATAAAGCAACTATCTAGAAGTATTTAAAAAAAATGAACAAAGTATAACCTTATTTGTACATACAGCTAAAGACCACTGATGAAAAGGTTCGTTTTTTTTAAACTTTATATAGGTAGGTTTTTGTTATTTGGGGGGTCAGTCCATAGCCTACCTTCTCCTTGTATACATAACTTGCAAAATATTATCGTTCGCACCAACATTCATGGATTGCATTAGACACGTGTTAAAAAAATCCCGCAAAAATTGCAACACCAGAACATTCTTTCCTACTGGCGCTCATGTCGCCATTTTTGATCTGAATCAAATATGAGGAGGCTTCGTGACTAAGCTTATAGTTTCCCGGATTCGAGCATCAATTATTCTGCTTGACCCCGTTTGCTTCTCAGTTTCCTTCGCCTTGCCGATGCACAACAAGTGAAAGAGGTCTCTTGGACTACGATGGTGATACCTCTTCTTTTGTTTTGTCAGAATATACCTGCACGTCGGTCGGCATCACAGCAGCATGGGCCGAGATGCCAGCGATAAATGCCATACCGCCATTCCATGCCGCCACAGCCATTGCCGAGTTTTTAATCGACGCGAAAGAAGCGGCCAGACGAGACGGGCAGATGTCAACCATGTGACGGATCGGATCAGACGTCGCCATCGAGGCAAAACACAATTCTCCACTCACACGAACTACCAAGGGCATGACCAAGGTCTTTGATCAGCATAAAATCATGGCCATAAAATTGCCCAAACACAACATTTCGTTCTCCGGGGAAAAACGAGAGTCCTGTTTCTGTCTTTGAACAACCAAATCTGCATCCCCTTTATCTACTTCCTGGATTACTAGATCGGAAAGAAGTGGCCATACTAGACAACACCAAACGGTTCCTCTGTCACACGCACTACCAAGGGGTGTTATATTAAAAGAAAGTAAAGCTAACATGAAAAACTTGTCCCAAATACAAATTGATTTTGGGAACCAAGCAATCAGACACCACCATTTTACACATTTCGTTCCCCGTGCAAAAACGAAAGACCTGTCTCTGTTTTGAACGATTAAATCTTGCTTTACCTAGTTCCTGGACCTGCCAAGAGGCAGGCAGATGTCAACCATGTGACGGATTAAACATCGCTATCGCGGCAAACATCAAAAATGGGTCCGCAATCACAAAAACTACCAAGGGCATAATCAAGGTCTTTTATCAGCAAACAGTTGCATTGTTCGTTCTAAATAAGCTCAAATACAAGTTTGTTTGGGAACCAACACAATACCCATTGACATTTGGTGCCTTGAGAATGTCCCGTGCAAACTTGGACGAAAGCTCTGCATCTAAAGCAAATCAGACTCGGGCTTCATCCGGAAATGAGAGATTTCTTTAGCATAAATATAATAGAATTGTGGGCGAAACATAAAGCTGATGTTTCTCTCATGTCTCCATGTCATAGAGGAACGGCCACATAGATAAAATATGCACCATGTGGCGGATGACGTTGCAGCGATATTTTGCAAAATAACAAACGAGTCCGTAGTAAATTACAACTGCCTAATGACAAGCACATTGGCATCATTAGCATGGCGTCGAGTAAGTTGACTCTGCACTTCCCACGTAACGCCGTCATTAGTTCCTAAAATGTTCGGCGCAGTCATCAGTTCGTAAAGGATTATGCTTGGCTTGGTTAGCCCCACTGAGAAAAAAGTTAGCTACGTACATGTACAACAAAAAAAAATTTTAAACGGACCAAGTCAGAAAATCATATGCCCGTACACTACTATGGTAAGGTCGACAAAGCTTTGAAGTTCTTAAAAATTGTAGCAGTGGAGGCGGAACTACGAGTAGAGGCAAACACCAAAAAATAAATAACAATCGATGAAATTTCGTTCTTTAACGTTCAGGGGCCCCTTGATCCTTTTCAGGGAAATTTTGAGAGGCTTAAAAATTGAGGGTTGGTAGTGGGTGGGTATATATTTTAAGTGTTGGTATATTGATAGGCTTCCAACACTGGTAATTCTAAGTCCCTACCAGAGAGAGAGAAAGAGAGATATTTTTGAGACATCATAGATTTTCTTATACATTTGGCCTTAAAACGATACAAAAATATTTTCAAAACGCGTCGCTCGGAACGCAATGAACGTAGATATACCAGAGTCGGGGTCATAATACGAGCTCTGGCTGATATCTGATCGATGAGTGGCGATAAACACTGTCTAAAACAATGAAGGTGTTTTAAACTGTTTAAAACATGTTTTGAACATTGTTTTGTCGTTTGTGAATTGTTCAATTTTTTATATTCTTTTAAGTATGATTAAAATTGATTTTATTTTGCAAAACGAAACGGAAACATAGGTACTAAAAATATACTTTATTTTTTATTAAATAATCAAACATGAAACTAGGGAACTATACTAGTGGAAAAAGAATCTGTTTCTTAACGAACGAGTGAACTTAATAAACTGCATTGAACTCTACTGCTACAAGCAGCAGAATAATCATATAATATGACTATGTATTTACTTGTATAATAACATTAAATGAGTTACTTAACAAATTTCTATAAATTATACAACCCATCTTATTTAACAAAAAATCCTTAAATCCATATTTTTAAAATATAAAATCATGGAAAAAGTACATAGAATAAATTTTTAGTTTTCACTTCTTTTTACGGAACTCAACTTTGAGGAAATAGGTTCGGTAGAAACATCATCATTGTCGGTATCGGAACTATCTGATATATGAATATTTTGTTTTTCTAACAAACTTCATTGTTTAAGTTGTTTACAATTTGCTTGTGCATTCTAGCCACCAGTGGCACTATATCCATATTGCAGGTTAAACATTTTGCTCTTTTATTTATTTTCGAGCCAGCTTTGGCATCAGTCTCCTTTAAATATTTCCACACAAAACACACCAAACGCAAACGGTACTTCCCCGACGTCCGCTTTTAATTGGAGATGTGCTCTGATAGAGCAGGATCAAAAATAGTAATAACACTTTCAAGGAACTTCATTAACGTTGCTAGATTATATAGGCAATAGGTTTTTAATTTTTTTACTGTTTTAAACATGTTACACTGTTAGTGTTTTGAATATGTTTTTTTTTCAGCTAAATTTGAATGTTCTAAACAAAACAATGGAAAAAAACAAAAATCATGTTTTTTTTCAACCCTGATGAGGACTGTGGAGTAATTGGAGATACAGAGGACTTCTGTATCAAAGATTAACTTCCTTCACCTCTATGTGGCTCCTAGATTATCAGACCTGACCGACCTGCAAACTGATACCATGAAACAGAAGCGAGACATCTCTGAAGGCAACCAGTAATTAATTAGTTGCGTGTGGTTGTACAACTCTTTATGTCTTGTCAGCACGGCCGAGAAAAGTTGTGCAAGAGCCAATCGGTCAGTTTGTGTAATTTGTTAGGTCTGGATAAGCAGACGCCAGACATTTTCATTATAAAGATGATGTAGATAAATACGACAAATTATAAAATGGTTAGGTACCTAAAAATAATTTATTTCAGTAAAAATATCTATCCGTACATTCTTCTTCTACGTCGTCTAAAACCAAGCATTTGGTCTAGGGCTGAACTTTGAAACTCTTCAATCCAACCTTCGATCCAAATAAGGCAAAATATCCGTAACGTTGGCCTGAAATCTCCCCCCTTTAAGGGTTTGAAGGGTCTTAACCTCGAAATGAAAATCGCATCTGCGTTAGTTTAACAATTGCCTCAATAGCTCAGAACCAAGATGCTAGTACTTTTGATAAGGGATATTTTTTGGTTATGGCCTTTAACAGTCTAACTGTATTCCTGATCTATGGAACATAAATAGACGAGTTACCAGACTAATGGAAAACTAGAAACCTTACAAGGTTAATTTAATAGGGAGTATTACTTGAATATTATTTGGAAAATTTAAAATGATAGCGACTGTAGCACCATACTATAAGAATAACATTTACAAAAATTAGTTCGATGTAAATTAGTTAAGTTTAGATTGAACGAGATGTGGTACCATATCACAGAAAAGGAGTGGGTA